GATGAAGTGGTAACAACTTAACTTGCCATTTGCTATTTACAACTAGCTAGACTTGTTATTGTCTGTTATTTTGTGAGAACATCAGTAGATAAATTCTTAGAGACGAATGTGCCAGGACATCAGATAAACGCAGTTGTGGTTTTTACCAATAGTGCAAAGTGTTAACTGAAATGGTTGCACCCATCTACATCAACACTTATATCGTGCGACAGGGCTTACTTCTGCACAACCTTGCCATCACCGGATTCTGTCAATTTTATAGAATTCTTGGGAGTATGCTAGGTGGATGGTACTCTAATTATTCTGGTTCACATTTCTCTTTTTTTTAAAACATTTTTTTAAGTTTATTCATTTTGAGAGAGGCAGGGACATCACGAATGGGAGAGGGGCAGGGACAGAGGGAGTCAGAGAATCACAAGCAGGCTCCTCACTACCAGCACAGAACCCAACGTGGGGCTTGAACCCATAAAACCATGAGATCATGACCTGAGGCGAAACCAGGCACCACCTAGTTCACATTTCTCTTATGATCACCATGAATCATCATTTCATATTTTTGGGGAGACCTTTCTATTTTTTTCTGTGACACGCTGTTTATATCTTTTGCCCATTTTTCTCCTGGTACATTTACCATCTTCATATCAATTTATACAAGCTCTTTGTGTATGAAGGCAATCAGATATACATCAATTATGGGCATCAAAATATTTTTCACACTTTATTTTCTTTTGATTTTGTTTATTACAGAGAAATTTTCACATTAGGAGAGAGGCACTAGTCTTTTCCTTTGGTAATTCTCAATTAAATTTCATGCTTAGACTCTTCCTGGAACTATGAGTCTGTGATTGTCTACCTTTCTTTTTTTAATGGGACTCCCATTCACTGCTCTTTTAGAAATCCCTGGCTCTCAACAAATACTATTTTATTTTTGGAGATAAGCTCCAGAGGACCATGCCAGTATCTTTTTCCTTAGAGCATGACTGACATAAGCACAGAAATAAATTCACATTCTCATCTCTACCAATTCATCTGATAGGTATTAATTCATGTGCCAGTGATGAGTGGCCTGATTCACAGAATCCCGACCTTAAAGAGAGAGAGAGAGAGAGAGAGAGAGAGGGAGAGAGAGAGAAACAGGGAGATGAAAGTCTAATTTATCTTTTGGGTCAGAAAGCATGGAGAGATGATAGCTTTTCTGGTTTTGTTTTTATGTTTTTTCCTAAAGACATTTAGAAACTCTCACCTGGCATTCTGTGTATCAAACACACAACAGAGGAGGTAGCAATAAGAGATAAAGAGGCATGTTGAGTGGGCAGGCATTCATATCACCAAGAAAAAAGGTCTTAATTTACATTTTCAGGGCAGCTGGGTGGCTCAGTCGGTTACGTGTCTGACTCTTGACCTCGGCTCACGTCATGATCTCATGGTTTGTGAGTCTGAGCTCTGAGTGGGGCTCTGCGCTGTGGGCACAGAGCCTGCTTGGGATTCTCTCTCAGATCATGACCTGAGCTGAAGTTGAACGTTTAATGAACTAAGCCACCCAAGCGCCCCTGTCTTTCCCTCCTTCTGCCCCTCCTGTGCTCATTCTCTGTCTCTCTTTCAAAATAAATAAACTTTAAAAAAATTACATTTTCTCCTCTTATTATACATAAATAGGCAACATCCAGTCGGCGATATATGTCATTTCTCACACACAAAAAATGTCTGACAGAGCTCGTTCGGAGAGAAGAAAAACATGCTGCCTCTACAACCTAAGGAAAAATGCTCTCAGAACCTGAAAGACAGGCTTCCCTCTGCCCACTCCTCTGATTCAATACTAAAGTGATGTTTGAAGAGAAAAGAATTCATGCCAAGTCTACACAGAGAAAAAGAAAAATAATTAAAAGGATCATTAAAGTCTTCAGCACATTTTCTTTAAGCTCAATATTAGCACTGAAGAAAATCACAGCAATAAAAGACCAATCAACAGGCCCATAAAATAGGGTACAATTACTATGGAACATTACAAAGAGGAGTAGGATTCAATTTTTTCATCGCCATTGAATTCTATGTCAGAAATAAAATTCGTGATATACTTAGCACTTGTATATACTGCCGGGCACTGTGAAAGAGAAGATGTAGAGACAGAAGTCTAGCTCCCAAGTAGGTATTGGGCCTTGCCTGCCTCTCTGTCACCTTGTGCTGTTAGGACAATAATGTAATAGAAATCTCCAAGGTATAAATGGTAATAATATAAATAGCTGGGTACCCCTCAAGCAGCTCTGGAAATACAGTATGACCAAGTGTTTACCCCTCCCCCACTGATATCCTCCTCACACCTTCTCAGAGGGAACTACTGTCATGTAAGTGGCCTTTAAAATGATGTTTTCCGGGGCGCCCGGGTGGCGTAGTTGGTTAAGCGTCCAACTTTCGCTCGGGTCATGATCTCGCGGTTCGTGGGTTCGAGCCCCGCGTCGGGCTCTGTGCTGACTGCCAGCTCAGAGCCTGGAGCCTGTTTCAGTCTGTGACTCCCTCTCTCTCTGACCCTCCCCTGCTCACGCTGTCTCTCTCTCTCTCTCCTAGAAATAAATAAAACATTTAAAAAAAAAATAAAAAAAAATAAATAAATAAAATGATGTTTTCCTTTAGACTCGTACAAAAAGGTATATATACACATACTTACATATAAATGGGTGTGTGACTATGTGTGTGTATATTGGCATGAGGCTACATATTGTGTTTAGGGATAAATATTCTTTGTAGCCTCATGCCAACCTTACAGGAATGGTTTCACCAATTTTCTTTTGTGGTTTTTGCTTTTTCTGCCCAGCCCTCTGAGTTTCATCCACATGGATATGCACAGCCCTCTAACATTTGTTTTCTGTGTGCATGGCTTTCTGGGATGACTATGCCACAACTCATTTATCCATTTCCCAACCAGTGGATGGCTATTTAGGTTGCTTCCTATGTTCAACTCTTCCAAACAATGCTGCTATGAATAGTCTAGAACATGCTTCTAGGACAGTCTAGAGTGCCATTTCTGGACTTCAGTGATTTTGCTTCAGGATCACCATTTATCAGTGCATGTGTCACCTTTTTCACTTTGCCATCTTTTATTTACTTTTTATTTACTTTTATTTCCCTACTCAAGGGAAAACACATTTCATTCCAAAGAGGCAACCATCTCTCTCCCTCCCTTTGTCTCCCCAAACATGCTACAGGTAACTCCTACTCTCAATCAGAAAGCAACTCTGAGCAAAAGGAATGCCTTCCAGGAAAGAGTAATGATTTGACTTTTAAATAGGAAATGAGTATCATCAGAAAGCCCCTTGGGGTGAGAGTGCCCACCAGTGCACAATGACTAAAGGCTAAATCACTCATCCTCTAACCACTATCCTTCACAATCCTGCAGACAGCTTCCCAAAACATAGATCCTTCCCAAAGTCCTTGAAAGGCACTCAAAATCAGAATCCCTTATGCTCTCTGGCTTTCATCTGTCTTTCCACCTTTATATTCTCTTACAGTAACGCACACACAACACCCCACAGCAGCTACACTGCTAATTCCCCTTCTCTCATCCACTCCATTTCTGCCAACTCAAGTCTTGTCTGGCTTTTCAACATCTCCATCAAGTGGCTCCTTCATACTCTCCCATATGTTCCTGTTTGGAATTAATCCTTCTTTCTTGCACCATCATGGATATAACTTAAAAGAAAAAAAAAAAAGCAGAAACAAACAAAAAAACCCCACAACATACCAATCAATCTTCACTGCATGGTTTTTCAAATATGGCTATACCTTCCTTAAAATTTGTACTTGCAGGGGCAACTGGGTGGCTCAATCTGTTAAGTGTCTGACTCTTGATTTCAGCTCAGGTTATGATCTCACAGTTTTTGAGTTTGAGCATCATGTTGGGCTGTGAGCTAACAGCACAGAGCCTGCTTATGATTCTCTCTCTCTCTCTCTCTCTCTCTCTCTCTCTCACACACACACACACACACACACACTAAATAAACTTAAAATTAAGGGTCTCACCTCTTAAATCTTTATTGTACCTATAGAGATTATAAATGTAATAGATAAGTTATATATGCCACTACCAGGTTAAACTTCAGACAAACTCTGGCACACATACAAGAAACATTCCAGACTATTCATGGCGGCACTGTTTGTAAGAGCAAATGTAAGTAACACTAAGTTCAACTTTTAGGGAGAAAACATGCTGAATAGTTCTGTTGGAGGTTAAGACCCATGGCTTCAACATAGGGCATCTTGACAAACTAAGTATTTTAGGCTGAAGAAATACAAGAAATGGCATGCGCAGCAAGGTTCTTCGGACCTGGACCTAAAGAACATCAAGTCCTCATGTGAGAGGTGTCCTCCCTAGACTCTGAGCAAAGGAGCAGACAAGGGACACAGACAACTGTGAATGCAGAGCCCTTGCTAAATTTGCCCCAGTTTACTTGAGTTAGTTTACTTCTGTCCTATCTTTGCACAACGTGTTACTCTTCATCAGACCTAGCTCACCTATGGGTCTTCATTTGCTTATGAAGATTCCTGTGTCATGGAAATCTTCTATTAAGTAAATGTGTCTGTTCTACTCTCGTTAACCTGTCTTCGGTTACGAGATTCCCAATGGAGAATGTAGAAGGGTAGAGAACAAGTTATCTTTCTTCCCCTAAAGTTCTTAACACCAATTCTCTTCATGTGAACGAACATATATGCATTCCCCAAGAAAGTCCCAATGTGGAAATAGGTCTTGCATCATCCACACACTTAGAAATGGAGAAATGAACAACTGAAAAAGGATCCCATATAAAAAGAAATTCTCAATTTCAGAGCACAAACACTCTGACAGAGAGGACCAGGTTTGGCCTAACTTACCTGAAAGAACAATGTAGCGATGAACCAACAGGAACACCAAGATAAGGTATAAAGACACACCTGAATTTCAACATGCTCGGATTATTTTAAGAGCCAGCAAAAAGTAAAACAGAACTGAAGAAAGGGTCATGAATTACCTGCATGAGCAGAGAGAGGTGAGTGTGGTCGAGGCAATGCTGCTGACTGTCCATTGCCTATCAAACTTTTCCGGTTGCTTGTTCGGCAACTGTCAAAAGGAAAAACAAAAACCAAGTTGCAAAAAGCAAACAGAGTATGGGTCATGCCCAGGTATATTCAACATACACACACACCAGAGGTTGGGCAACCTATCTGCTCGTGCTATTGCTTAGATTTCTGCAAGTTAAGATGCACTCACTAATATTTGACGGGTGGCTGCCTCTTGGATATTAGAAAATATAATGTATTCATATAGCATAACACCATCAGTATTCCTCACCAGCAGTGAAGTTATAATCAAATGCCTTCTTTCCACTCCTGACTGCGAATAGGTGACATTCCATACACCCAAGTGATAAATTAAGGATTCAAATCAGCAAACCACAGGTAGCATCTTGGATGACATGAAATTCCTAATACAAAATTACATGCAATGAAGCGCAATGACATTAATCTTATGATGATGCACTAATTAAAAATCTAATTATTTAGACAAATTTCCTATTTGTGCCTTTTGTCAACAGAACAGCCGATGCCTAAGAGATAGGTATTTCTCTACTGAGTCATTTTTCATCTTGTATACTACATTCAAAGTCCTTATTAAGGTAAATATTTTGGAATAAAAAAATTAGAATCCAGGTGGTATTAAAGTAAGAGTAAAAATGTTTTGCCAGAGGCACACCACCACTGTTTTGATCCCAGTACTCACTCAATAGAAATAAACTACTACCTGTGGGCACAGGGCAGCTACTTTTTCCTGTTTCTGCCAGGACAAAGGTATAAAATGCCTATCTTGATTCGAAATAAGTCTCAGAAGCAGCAAAGAATAAGACACATGCAAAACTGGCTGATGAGGAGGTGAATATTATCTCCCTTTCATCTGCTTCTCCTTTAATACAGATTGGTGCTTCACTCTCTATTATCAGTCAAGCAGTGAGAAAAAGGGTAATAAAACCCAGCATGTTCAGGGGACTGTGATTCTGCCCTTCTACACCAGGGCTGCCCTCAACCACCATTAAAGGTTTAGTGTAATGTCTTCTTTAATTCAGAACACACCTGTTATAACAGGCTGTTCAAAGAGAAATTTTCACCTGACTTCTAAATAAGGTATTGTGGACGAATCCGAGAGTTTGCAGAGAATATATGAAAGGAACGTTTCTAAGTATTCAAATAATACATTTCAGAACCAAACTCAATTTCTTTCAACAATATTGACTTGGGAACCAATTCTCTCCCTTAAATGTTTGCTGCTCATTATCATTTATCAACATTCCCATATTTATAATTTCTTAAGGTCAGGCGGCATCATTTTATTTTCCTTACTGGAACAATCAACATCCCTTAGCTTTATCTAGGAGTTTAATTAAGATCATGTTTACTCAGCCTTAAAGAAGTTGCTGATTAAGAACAGACCCTTGATACTTAATTATAAATGTAGATTGTGATATTATCAACTCATCTATTAAGAACCATATTTGACCTATTAAATTCATAATCATTAAATCAGATAGTATGATTGTTTTAAAAAGATACTGTATAATTTAGTGATAATTCAAATTAATGTCTTCTTTCATTTTAATACAGGAATATTAAACATACCAACTTGCTATGGTTAATAAAAGAAATTATAAATGATTTATAGCCTGGGAATCTCAGCAAAGTTATTTGTTAATTTGAGCAAATTAACTGAAACACGAGTTAACTGCCAGAAAACTGGCCATGTGTATTATTTTTTACATTTAGCATTTGATCTAAATCACTTAAGAAGATATTCTCTTGATATTCAATTACTGGTGTTTATGTATGTAAATAAAATTTTCAATAATAAATGTCTATCAACAGAAATAGTAACCTAATGTTTATCTTAAATAGGGTTACTGGTAAAATATCTAAACTTAAAGATAAAACCTAGAAAATGGTATTTCCTGAAAAAAAACTTAAATAAAAACCAGAATTTTCCTAACAAACATACAGAATGACCAGTATACTACTATAAGCAAAATCAATTTAAATTTAAATCAAAGAAAAACGGAAATAATTTTCAAAACTGTTTCAGTTATTTAAAGTCTAGCCAGAAAGGCTGAAAAATACTGATTTTAAAAATGTGATTCAGGGGCACCCAGGTGGCTTAGTTAACTGAGCCTCAGACTCCTGATTTCAGCTCACGTCATGATGGAGCCTGCTTAAAACTCTCTCTCTCTTTCTCTCTCCCTCTCTCTCTCTCCCCCTCACTCTCTCTGCCCCTCTTCCCCACTTGCGCTCTCTCTCTCTGTCTCAGAAAAAAGAAAAGTGAATTTAAAAAATCTTAAAAAAAGAAATGTCTAAATAAAACCTGCAAATGGAATATACTTGCATGATCACTATAAAAAATATAAAAATATAGTAAAAGTTTATATGACATTCATCCTGTGTTTGCCTAGTCTCTATAAAGACTTGTAGTCTTTACCAAAAAATGATTATGAATGCAATTTTGCGGAAAATAAAAAAGATTCTTCATTTAGGAATATGTGAGCAAAAACAAAAAAGTTAAAAGCAAATTGTTTCAGAATTTCAGTAGTTTACCATAATTAAGGTGCTGGGAATATTTTGCACAAAACCATAAATAATCAGAGGCAGATCTTATTGACAAATGTTGTGAACAAGCAAAGCTGAAAGGGTCTTCCCCAACCTCTATATGGACCTTGAACATGAAGGGAGAGACAGTATTAAAATTTTAACAGACTTGAACTGTTCCTGAATCGGTCAACAATCAAACAGGAAGCTTTTAAACATGAAATACAAATCCAGCCTTCATAAAACACAGGCCAAGGAAGATTCCTATGTATACACAAAATCAGACTTTATACAATACAGGTCAAGACAGACTCCTCTGTATACACAAAATAAATCTCTATAGTCATGAACTAGGGACTCGGCCTTGCAAATTCATTTATTTGTTGCTAACATTCTTAAGGGTAAAGTGACATTTTATACTGTATTTAACCCCCAAATATCAATTCCTGATATGTATATTAGCACTTCTACAGTCCTAGGAGTCTGAGGTACTCTCAGACAATTTTCCAATGGCAGAGGATTATGGCAGTCATCCAGCCTCCATGCGACCTGGTTCTGATATGTCTGACAGTCACCTAATTGTATTGCCCTAGGTACCTGCTTCCCAATAAATGAATTAAAATCTGATTTTAACCCCGAGTAAAACAACTCCTAGTTGGCAGGATCTATGAATGTTTACTACCTACACTGCCACAGTACCTGGCACTGCCCACATTAATGGTGATGGTGCTGCTATAAGAGGCCAAGCTGACCTCTGGCTCTTTCCTGAAGATGTAAGGAGAAGCTCGTGGCATCACAAATCAGGGACCCCAAGTGGTGGTGACTATGCCACACACTCATTTAATTCATAAAGGGAAGAAAGACTAGCTACATTGCCACTTGGACAAAATTGAGGTTCATTCTCTGCCACCAGCACGACTAAGTTGATTCGGCTTGCTGACTTTTTCTTAAGCAGGGTCACCCACAGGAGACACAGTGGTTGCCTTCCTTACCAGGTAAAATAGGAATAGCAGAAATCTCAGCCTGCTTGAAATGTATCCTTATCTAGTAGTTTGAGCTTTTAATTCAAGTTTCAACTACTGGTCCCATAGTCTGCTTCACTCTTGAAAAAGGAATGGAAGCCATTTCCCCTGCCGGTGCTCGGATCTAGAAGCCAAACACAGGAATGTCCACTCCTGTGGACCACACCAGGTACCACCTCCTCCCCAGTTTACCACCTGAAGCAACACATGGAGACGCTCTGCTTCTGGACAACATCTCAGACTGTTCTATTAGTTTGGAAGGTGACACATTGGCAGAGATTCTTTACTTGCAAAATCTGCATTTGGCCCAAGAAGACAGCCACTGACAACTTGTGAATTAAGGGGAGAATGATAATGCCAACTAAGTATTTCTTTTCACCTCATTCCTTTGGTTCCTCTCCCCATGGACCAACTACACACACATACACACAAACACAAGCACTGCTCACTGGGTGGACCTGGGATCTGAGAAGAATGGAAGGTGGAAATGCAATGACAGCACTTGTCAGTGAGTGGGACTGGTCAGCCCCTGGGGGCTGGGAGGCAAGGCAGGGAGGGACAGAACACTCTTGAAGAACGTCAGGGCTAGATGTGCACAGGGGCGGAGATGTTTTAGAGTGACACAAGGCCGGCACAAGGAAGTGTTTGTCTGCGTGGTTTTTGGCTCAGGCAGGTGATGTGAGGATTGCCCAGGGCACCTGTCCTGCTCTGAGCTCACTGTTCCCATCACCAAAGCATTCCGCAAGGAGCTGCCGGATTTCCTAGTCACTGCAAACAGTGCCTTCCGTTTGCTAGGAAGATAAAGAGACAGATCCTACATTTCACCATCTAAGTCAGGCCTGACTCAAAAGCGTGAGGTGGGGCAGCTGGGTGGCTCAGTCGGTTAAGCGTCTAACCTGAGCTCAGGTCCTGATCTCACGCGTCACAGAGCTCTGTGAGGACAGCTTGGAGCCTGGGGCCTGCCTCAGATTCTCTGCCTCCCTCTTTCTCTGCCCCTCCCCTGCTTGCACTCTCTGTCTCTCTCTTTCTCAAAAATAAATAAACAGTAAAAAATCAAGTCATCTTTAAAAAAAAAAAAAGTGAGGGAAAAGAGGTATGCGGGCTACCAAGCTGAAGGAGGGGAAGGGAATGTGGTGTACATATTTTTGGTCCAAAGCAACATATTCTCTACGTGCCCAGGTTGTCCTAATGCTAAGGACATGAAGGGCTTGCTGGGCCTGTAAATGTTTCATAGCTGACTCTGTCACATCTTCCCTGGCTGAAGAAACCTGTTTGTTATCCTGTACGAGGTCTGGTGAAGCTGGAACGCCTGCACAGACTGTGGCCTTTTGCAACTGTTCTGAGTAGCTGAGATCCAGTTCAGTTTTAAATGACACTCATTTTGAGACATGACTACTCATCATGTCTGACCATAGCAGGACACGCTGCAGAGGGGAAACCACAACGGGCAGTCATCTCCAACATCCACAGCTGC